AAGTCTACAATGTGCCAAATATTTTCGTATTAATAACAAACCACTTTGGTTGAATTAGTTATCTTTTTACTACCAGTTTTTTTTTTTTAAATGTGCAGAACAGATTGGAGAGTTGAAACAATAACAAGATGACGACCAGGAAAACTCCAGAAAATAAAATAAATTACTTAAATTCGACGTTTTAATTATATAGCGATATAAGTTAACTCTTTTATTGAGAAAATGGCTTATTTTTAATCCTAATGTTTGATATCAAGCATTTGCTACTTTTTCTCACGCTGTAGTGCCAGTATTTGCCCAAAACTTTATTTAAAATTTTCTTATATTGATATGATTTTAAATTTTTTAATCCAATTTAATATTTTCAATACTTTTCAGACATCCCGATTCTCGTCTTGCACGGATGTTCAACGGAAGTATTCCGATTGTCTTAGACACCTTGAAGCAGCATTATTTCATAGACCGAGATGGCAAGTCGTTTCGTCATATATTGAACTTTCTTCGAACCAATACACTTCCGGTTTCAGAAGAATTCAGAGAATTGGATCTTTTACTAGAAGAAGCCAGATTCTATGACATACCGCCACTGGTTAAAATGTTGGAGAGCCTCAAGAAAGAGAAACATCGTAAGAAACAGAGTAATAATTGCCATTCCAATTCCAACGATAACCATTACGATGATCGAAGAACGACAAATTACGATGACAAAAACAATGACATGGGCTTTCAATGCCTGGCTCTTAACGTCAGTCCTGATCTTGGAGAACGAATAACGATTAGTGGGGAGAGGTCTGTAGTGGAAGAAGTTTTTCCTGAGATTAGTCAGGCGCTAATGGATGCTCGCAGTGGAGTAGCCTGGAACACAGACTCTAAACACGTCATCAGATTTCCGTTAAATGGTTACTGTAAACTAAACTCACTTCAAACAATTACACGTCTTTTGAATAACGGCTTCAAGATCATGGCGTCCAACGGAGGCGGTGTGGAAGGTCAGCAATTTAGCGAGTACCTTTTCGTACGAAAGCATTTTCCCATTTGAAAATATACTGGTGTTCGAAACCTCTGGATGTTGATCTACAAAATACATTAAAAAAAGTGTGAGATTCTGAAAATTCGATACGGAATTAATATTACGTTGATAAATTTAAAGGACTTGGAGTTACTAGCAATCAACGTTACGGATGATTTTGATGGTGCTATCAGATAGGTCCTAACTCATGACCTTGAAATTGTTTTAGTTACCTTACTAATCAGCATAGTTAGTATTTATACATGTGTGTCATCTTCAACTCCTTTTTTTTTTACTTTAAAAGTAGTTCCTTCTTGATCAGATGCCAGTCACTCGCCAAAAAAGTGACATCGTAAAAGCTTTGTATGTGTGTGTGTGTCTGTGTTTTATAAGAGTCTTGGTAAAAAAAAGCGGCATCCTCTGGAGTTCATTTAGAATTGATGAATAACTTGTTTGACGCTTATTTTCGCAAAGAGAGAGAGAGAAAGAAGTGTTATATTAAACTATTTCTCTGAATACACAGCCGATATTACACATTATATCAGTTAAAAAGGTTTCCATCCCTACTTTCAACCATTTTTTTATTCAAAGTTTTCAGTTCTTTGTCGCATAAAAAAGGTGATAAAATCTTCTAATAGAACTCTTTTTATGTTCCGGACGATAAAAAAAGTGTTGAAATTGATTATTAAGAACACCCAGTTTCTGCTTATGTGTGTGAAGATACACCAAAACAGGAATGTTAAGTGGAAACAGAATAGTCATTATTCTGAAGTAAAAGAGCACATGGAATTGTCTCTTTAACAAAACAGGAACTAGTTGAGTGGAAACAGAATAGTCATTATTCTGAAGTAAAAGAGCACATGGAATTGTCTCTTTAACAAAACAGGAATGTTGAGTGGAAACAGAATAGTCATTATTCTGAAGTAAAAGAGCACATGGAATTGTCTCTTTAACAAAACAGGAATGTTGAGTGGAAACAGAATAGTCATTATTCTGAAGTAAAAGAGCACATGGAATTGTCTCTTTAAATGGTGTCAACTTTGTACGAAACTGTAGTGTTAATGATGAACTTAAAATGATACCTTCCTTAATCAACAAACATTATTAAAGTTACATAGACAGGTTGATAATAGTTACCAATAAACTTTAAGTTAATGGGTGTATTAATATCGACTTCGTACTCATTTATTATTGGAGTAAAACCAGACACTATTAGATGGTTGTGTACGTGATCTCGTTTGTGCCATACTGAGGCTCCTACAAAGATATTAAGCTTTTTTATTTATCTAAGACGAGTTTTACTACATATAATGCTAGTTTTTAAAAAGGCAGGTTTCTCGGTTTGTTTATAATATTATTTATCAATGCGTATCTTACGTAAGAACTGATTTATATAATTTGGTGTAGTTATATAGTTTGCGAAAACCCGATAGATTTCATTTAAAAATGTGACGTTTCTTATGATAGCTGTTGTTATTTTTAAGTGTATGTATTATAGAGACTGCTTGTATACTACGGTTCGAGAGTACAATTCATGAAATACTATAACTATATCAACTTATACCAACACTAATGAAGTACGATAACTGTATCAACTTATACCAACCTTAGATCTCACATAAGATATAATTTTCTGTTTTTATTAATGCAGTCAAGTATATATATATTTCAGTCCGGTAATTGAAAAAAATCTATAATATAACTATTTGTTGTAAAGTTATTTCTTTCTTTCACGCTAATCGCTACCAACTTTTTAATATCTAGTTATTGAAAATAAACGCTAATTTTGAAGAAATTATACATCTCTTTTAATTTAGTTAAACTTTAAATCTGTGGATACGTGTCTTTTGAAATGGAATGGTTTACTTTATCTTCAACAATAATAACTTTCGATCAGATTAAGCTATAAACTTAGAGCGAAACTAAAAAATTCACCTGACCTTCAACATTACTTATTAAACTACTGTTCTTACATATCCACTTATAAAGGTTTATATTTAATGCTTTATAAAATGTCCTCATTAATTTGTAGTGATAATGGTTTGCTGCGTGACTGGCCGTTTGTTTAACATTTAGATTCGCATCAATCACTGTTTTTTACTGTGACTGAAGGCTCTGCAGTTATAAATATATGGGAAGTTTGTGTCCTTCTGAATGTACAAAAGATGGCGTCAGAATTTATAAGTGGTCATTAAAAGATACTTTGAATAACGAGAGGAAACTGTTATTCCCTTTCCTGTTCCAGTAATTCTTAATCAACAACAGGTTGTCTTTGTTTCATTCGATGAAGAAGTTGGATATTATAAAAAAAATGATATTTTAAATTATGTATATAAAAACGTGTTTCAATGCATCTTAATTGAGAGACATCAGTTTCTACCGAAGTTGCGCAGTGCACACGTGTTAGGAATATGTTTGGCAAAAATGCATCCACAATGTTATATATAACCCTTTTCAGAGGTATTATAACACTTATATCCACAATGAAGCGGACAACAGAACCTGGCGCACTAGCTCCTACAACGAATTTGGGTTATGGTAGAATTTAAAATTCTAACGAAATCAAAGCGTGTGCTAAGAAAAATATTACATTTTTTATTTAATGTCAAAATTTTTACAATTTATGAAACGACGTTCTGAGTTAATGCAGATCTTTGTTCAATTTTGAGATACCATTCTTGATCTTCAATGTTGTTTCTTGTTCAGCGGACCCGATGATTTCGAAATGATTGGAACACATAGGTTAGTCATGTTAAATGACATCGTGGCTCTAAGTTTTAATTCCTATTTGTGAGTTTAAATACTTCTCGTTCGATCGTTTTCAGAAGTGAAACGTTGTAAGTTTCGATGTTATTACCATGCATATCTTACGCAAACCCATAAAGGAAAAGAAAAGAAATATTTAACAAGATGATTAGTAAAAAATATTCGTGTGTGTGTGTTCAATGTTTTGTGATAATACGGACAATAAAAAAACTTGACTACTTTGTAATATTTAACTCTACCTACAGGAATAAGATGTTTAGCTACTGTTAAAAGTTGATATTTGTTTTAGGATTTATACATAATTAGACTTAATAGAAAAGGGATTCCATTCCACACTTAATAGAAAAAAAAGAAAATGTTATTCGAATATAAAAAATAAACAAAGTAATATACGACTTGTACGTTGATATAGTAAATGACAGTTTCATAGCAACTGACTTCTTTTATTATTAAAGTCATTGGAGGGTAATGAACGAAAAATTGGCATGTCAAAAAATTCAAATTATTTATACATTCGTTTGTTGTTTTTTAACACTTGAAAACGTTATTATATTAATTATTAAATTAAATAATTTATTTTATTTTCCCTTTTTGTTCTTTCTAATTAAAACACCCAGTTGTTACTACTCTAATAAGACAAAATAGTTACACCATCAAAGCTTCCGTGTGCTGAGGTTTATTATTACTCCATGTTATTTATTTACTTTTAAATAATTTACTGTTTTCTGCACTGTTTGAACCGCAACGGTAAAACTCCAATTAGCTGCTTCTGTAAAAGCGTACTAGCTTTGGCGAGGTTAAGTCGAATTGCTTTGAAGATATTATGAGCAGAACGTTTTTTTTATTTGTATTATTACTTTTTGGGGTTTATAAACACCCTATGGGAGTTTTTAATGGACAGTACATTATATTTTTGAGATAATCTCCAAGAGTCAAATTTTGAAACTTTTAGAGCTAATTGCTATTTTTCATAAATATGTTCAAGTCTGGCGACAAAACTTCCCCATTTTAAAAAGCCGCTATGCTGAAGGAATCATAGCAAATTAGCATCGTATGTATTTCATGACAGGAAAAGTTAATTAATCTCTTAGGTCTGAATGGTCGAAAATTGTTGAGGAGTTTCTTTTCATGCATATATGTTATTGTTCTGTCGTTTAATTGAGTAGTTTTTACGACGGTACTTGTAATCTCCAAAATCTTCTACACGTTTTCATTTGGTACTGTGAAATGAGCGACAATAATAACATATGTTATAAAATACCAGTTGTTAAAAATGATTTGATGTATTCGGGTACATAATCATAAGAAAATGTTATAACTCAATGTTGAAACAAAGTATTCTCCCCTGTAGTACAGAAAAGGGGATCATACGCCAGCCAGAAATGGGTCATCAGAGGGTGAAAGTACAAGCTTGCATGCTGATACCCTTACCAACACAGAAATGAGCAGAGTTGGCTGGATTATACGGGCCTGTCGAAGCAAGAGTTGCATAAGTTGTTTGTTGTTGCCTTTGGGCATTCACGGGCCCGATTACTTGGGAAGATAGCCCGGATTTGCGCTGCGGGCGTCGCCGCTCCTTTGCCGCTTTGTCCGCTCGATGGCGGCTGCGGGCGGGGCCTTGGGACCAGTCTTGCCCCAATATCCGGTTGACCTAAGCGTCACGTTGAGGTTTGTCTTGAAAAAAGCAAACATTTAACAACCCGTTTCTTTTCGTGACTTTTTATAAGCAGACAAGAAATTCGCACTAAGTTGCTAAGGAAAATGTCTCTAGAGTTTGAATACAGGTATGAGTGAGTTGTATAACACTTAGGTAGAACAGCTTGTTTACAGAATGTGTCTTCAGAAATACATATGAATACTAATTTACTCCGTTTTAACTGGAAAGGCATGTAAAAAAAAAGAGTAAAAATAAAGGCTATGTTTTAATTATCCGAGACATTAGTTTTATCGTGTAAAGAATTAATCCAGATACAAACGATTCTTTATATTTGAGAATTAATGTGCAGGCTTTGTATAAAGTTCGTTAGTATTGAAAGTCCTACAGATTCAGTTTATGTTCTGACTGAAAAACAAAAATGCAGATATACGTTGAGTGTGCAAGGTACGTAACAAATATAGCGATAGTAGGCTTTATAAAAAACAGAGATAGGAAAATATACGAGAACCTTACAGAAAACCTGAGTTTCGATGAAACTGTATGTTTGTAGTTATGCACAAAGCTACACAATGGGCTATCTGTGCTCTGCCCACCACGGGTATCGAAACCCGCTTTCTAGTGTTGCAAGTCCGCAGACATACAGCTGTGCCACTAAGGGGGGGGGGGGCATGAAACTGCCATAGGCTATCTTCGATTAACTGGGAACGTTTCACATGACAAATAGTTATTTACTGGCACTAATGCAAAACACAAACTACCGTAAAACAATACAATACAATATACTTGATCCTGATATCTTTAAATTGTTTTTTTATTGCATTGACGTAAGTAAAACTAATATACTCTCCCCCAAAGAGCTTGTTTCATTTAAAGTTAATTTACCTTTTATTTGAGTGTAAAGAAACGTTAAGTTTTATTACATCTTTCGTATAGAACATTAATAATTTGAGAACATTTTCAGGTGGTTTGAATGACGATATTGTGATTTATCCAAATGCAACTTGCCGCCTGCAAAACAAAACTAACGTTGGTATACGTGCTAGATAAATATGTATACATAAATTCATATATATAAATAAATAAATATATATATATATAGACATAGTTAAGTAGTTCTTTAAGAAGTAGTCACTTCGGCCGCAGTACCCGTGATCTAGTGCCATACACTACAGTGTCACGTTTTTGTAGTATCATATAAAGCTAAATATCTGTATGTAAATAAACTTTATTAGCATGCAGAGGAAATAAATATTATTATTTGAATTCGTAGTGTGTGTGTATAAGGTTTGTGTTTTTGCATTACCTGAAGCTATGCTGTTCTTCTTGATAGCTGAACATAAATTTTAAGAAATAACAAATATGTTTTACCAATATAATC